TGTGTGTGTGTGTGTGTGTGTGTGTGTGTGTGTGTGTGTGTGTGTGTGTGACAGAGAGGAGCTCAGCCCATGACCTGTGGACTAACAGCAGCTCATTTTGTCTGGATTTATGGTGTTTTGAGTTCACAAACTACTCTAGTAACTTTTTTAAAAGTTGAGGGACGTTACATTAGCTTGTACCTGCGCTGCTGATCATCGCTATTTATAGAACATGACCGGACTCATGAGAACCTGGTCACACGCGGGGTCTGTATTTGTGATTCTTGCTGTAATGTATAAAGTAATTATTGATAAGGTAACCATGCTGTGGCTTCACTTGTCGCATTTTCTTTTAAAGAAGGAAAAAGTAGCTTGCAAAGCTGTCACACTGGTGCTACGTGATTAGAAAAAGAGTTTTCATTGTGCTTCTAATCACACACACATCTTCCTATCTTTGTGAGGACCACACACAGCACTCAGCCTCACTCTGTGCCGTCTTTTTTTCCCCAAGTTTGGCGAGAGGTGGATGTGGAGGGACAGAAAAAATAGCTCTCGACTTGATCTGGCCTTATTTAAATAAAAATGACTACATGCCGTGAAATTCTTAGACGGGCAGGCCATCTCGTTGGTGGGGGGGGGCCCGCCCCCCTTGAATAATGATAGGAGAAACGCTGAACAGTTATATTAAAACAACTACTCGCTTGTTGGTTTCATGTTTTCTGCTCGTATAGTAAAGACTTTATATTTATAGAACTCCCTGAGTAGATAGTTCTGCTTTATTATCACGTCTAGATGCATCAGCTGTGCTGAGTTCAAAAGAAAAAATCATGCACATTGTGCCTAATTTGTTACAGGATCTTTTGTATTTACATTTTACACAAAGTCCCAATTTTTTTTAACTGGAAGTTGTGTGTGTGTGTGTGTGTGTGTTTGCAATATTTTCTTAATCCAAAAGGGAGATACCTTTCTGGAGTTTATCAGACTATTGAACAGAACAGTGTTTACAATTTAGGCTAGACAAAAACATTTACATTTGGTGGTGATGAAAGATAAAATCAGCATGTACAGAAAGCAGCATGTATTAAAAACTGCAGTGTTTGATACGGAGCAGTCAGGTTTACTCTGAGAAGACGTTTCACAGTGATCATGTGTCTGTGTTGGTTCTCAGCTTGTCTACAACCTGCTGTCGCTGCGCTACAACTCTCGTATTCGTATCAAGACGTACACTGACGAGTTAACACCGGTGGACTCTCTTGTCCCCGTTCACATCGCTGCCAACTGGTATGAGAGGGAGGTGAGTCGCACAGGTTACCTCCATCAGAGCTGTGTTAAACCAGGAGAAATGGTAAAGCTGTTTTATTTTTTTTTAATGGAAACTCTTGCAAACGGAGTAAAACTCTGCATCCAAACAGGTGTGGGACATGTTCGGAGTGTTCTTCTCCAACCACCCCGACCTGAGGCGCATCTTGACAGACTATGGTTTTGAGGGTCACCCCTTGAGGAAGGACTTCCCTCTGTCAGGATACGTAGAGGTGAGTCCTGCCATCAACAGTCAGCTGAGTAGAAGAGGAAATTATTTTCTTCCACTTTATTCTTCTCACTTACTCTTAGAAGCAACTATAAATAAAGGCCTATTATTTCTTGGAGGAATGCCTGTCGCTGCCATTTTTCATTCAAGGGTTTTCAAACTAACATCGTTTTTTTTTTTTGACAAGAAGTAACAGAATTGTTGTTTAGCTCAGACCTTGTAAATAGCATAGATCTGTTAGCACTCAGTGTGTTTTAATAATTACTTTCAGCTACTATCACATTAAACCTTATCTGTAAGTCTGACTAAATTATAGCCATGTTTGTATTACAGTCATTAGCTGTGGTGACCATTAGTATTAGGATGATTCCACATGTTTATCACTTATTTATTAAAGACTTTCTGAGCATTTCACTAAAATCTGTCTCATGTTTCAGGAGATGTTTTGGTAACTGCCAAACAAAGTTACAGTTAGGTCCATTTCTATTTGGACACTGAAACAATTTTATTTTCCTGTTTTCTGAAACATATTCAAGTTATAGTTATATAATGTACATGGACATAAAGTCCAGACATTCAGCTTTCATTTGAGGGTATCCACATTAAAATGGATGAAAGATTTAGGACTTCCATGAAGCAGCTCTGTTGTCCTCCATCTATATTTTCAGTTCCAGGCTGAGTCATTTCTACCTTCTCCTCTCTGTCAACGCTCTCTGGTTTCATTTAAAAGAGTCGATCATCAGATATTGTCCAAGGTTAACCTTCAGGGTGGATATAGCTCGCACAGAGGACTTATCCACGTCATCATTTACACAGAATGCTTTGTGTGTAAATAAAATGGCTCCGTC